AACCCCATAAAACATAAGGCGTTGTCGAACTTGAAATTAGTAAAATCATATCGATCTGCTTTCATTTGCCGGCAAACAAGACAAAAGATCAAATTACCATTTTCATAACATTCTACTGCTATATTCTTTACGTGTATAGGATTTATAACTGAAATTGTGTGTGAACATTCACGTATGTCGTAATTACAAAAGTGCTTAGAGCTGACATGAATTATTCATTGATATCGAATTTACGTCGGCGATATTTGCTAAAAGTTTTTACCATTAGTAAACAGGAGAACGAGGAATTCGACAAGGAGTTTGATGAGGACAGTTTTAGGTCAGTTACAGGACCATCAGCACCTTCTCTAGCCGCTCTCACGGACTGATTTCACTAGACAGGCAGACGACAGCTACCCGACGGAGCTCATAGTTCCTGCAGATGTGTCATCGTCATAAAAGGGTTTAAAAACAAGTCACCTGGGCAAAGCCATATTAACAAGAAGATCCTGGCCCAACTTCCCGATAACATGATAGAGAGGCTTGCTGATATATGCAATGCCTACCTCTCCTCCGGATACTTCCCTAAGATGTTCAAAATCGCCATTATCCGCCTCATACCAAAAGTATAGAGGCCTCCAAATAGAGTCGACACTTTCGACACGCTATTGTTACTGGAGGTACTAGCCAAATTCCTGGAAAAAATTGTAAATAAGCGATTGTGGATGTATCTGGAGGACGAAGACGTGCATAATCCCCGCCAGAAACGAGACACATCCACCGCCATAGCCCAGGCCTATGAGCAGATCGCCAACTCCATGACTGGCCGCCAGCAGTGCAAGGAAGTGCTGAGGGACACCAGCAAGGCGTTTGACAAGGTTTTGCAAGCAGGGCTGCAGCATAAGATCATACAACTGGGGCTACCCGAAAACTTGACGCCCCTGCTGTGCAACTTCATTACGGACCGCAGAGCCAAAATCAAGATGCAAGAACATTATGGGGAGGAATTCTTTCTCTCGAGCGGCGTTCCTCGGGGCGCTTGTCTCTAACCAACCCTTTACATGCTCTACACGGCTGATCTGCCACCCCGAATTATCAACAGCGAGTACGTCATGAATGTCGACGATATGACACAGATAGTCAACTGCCCTGGAAGGTCCATGGCAATGATGGCGCTCCTCACTGTTTGGGCAATACAGTATATCTAAGGGTATGGAAGGAAATGGAAGAATAAAACAAGACAAAAACCTAAATTCGAGGTCATACCCATAGCCAAATTCAAGCCCGCCCCATTGATGATCGATGACAAAGAGATTGAGTACTCTATACAAGGGAGATTGCTCGTCCTCACCATCTCTCAGACGGCTACCACGTCCCACGTGAAGGACAAACTAAATAAAGCTAAGGTCGCCGCCGTCAAATTAAAACGTTTGACACTGATGCCTGAGAAAATAAAAGTCCATCTGTACAAGGCGCTGGCGAGGCCTGTGTTGGAGTACCCACACGACCCACTCGTCACGCTCGGGAAGTCCAGACTACAACAACTACAGAGATTCCCAAGTAAGTATCTGAGGTCGGCCACGGCTCGAGTGAGGAGCTGAATGGACCTTCCCCCTGAGAGTGGATCACTGCATTCCAGAACGTTCCCCAGGGCCGCTGCCGTAAGAAATAACTATTCATTGTTTGATTCTATTGTTTGTTAGATTCCATTAATTGCTGACACCTTTAATTGTTCGACTTCCAATTATTGCTGACTCCCATTAATTATTTGCTTCCATTAATTGTTTGATTCCATTCATTGTTATTTCATGTTTGTTGAGTGGTGTCAGAGTTTTGTGTTATATTTTTATAGTAAAGAGATGTCAATCTCGAACGGTTGTTTGTTATTCCTCGGAAAACCATGGTTCTTGACTTTCCTTTTATAAGATCCTGATTGGGCTGGTAAGGGATTTCTATCCCTAAATCCCAGGCCTTTACAATGGGAAAGGAGGAAATCCCCCAATATCTAAAAGAACAAGGGAGACCGGTCAGACTGTGGCAAATACCAAGGGATCTAGCTGCTGTCCGTAGCTGTCAAAAATATCGCCTGAGTCCTCCTAAGCCGACTTCTTCCTGAGGCAGAAGACTTCCTCCCAGAAACTCAATGTGGCTTTAGACCATCATGTGGTACAACCGACATAATCTTTGCTGCCCGTCAGATAAGGGAAAGGTGCAGAGAACAGCAATGTGAACTGAACCTGGCTTTCATCGACCTAACCAAGACCTTCGACTCGGTCAACAGGGAAGCTCTCTGGTGGACCCTCAATCGTTTTGGCTGCCCACAAAAATTCATCGCCATTGTGAGGCAACTCCACGATGGCACGAACGGCAGTGTCCTGAACAATGGCACCCAGTCTGAGTTCTTCCCCATCCAAACTGGAGTTAAACAAGGGTGTGTCCTGGCACCAACTCTCTTTTCCATTTTCTTGGCTGCCTTCCTTACTCGTTCCAGCGCAAATTTAGCCGGCGGGGTGGATATCACGTACCAGATAAAGGATCTTTTCAACATAAGACGACTCCAGGCAGGATCAAAGGTGTTGGCAGCTTCCATTACTGATCTTCAGTATGCAGACGACATCACCCTTGTCGCTCACACTGAACGTGACTTACAAGAGATTCTGAACACCTACACAGATGTGTATGATCACTTCGGCCTTGAGGTGAATGTATGTGTTATCGCCTCTGTTTTATTATCGCTGGCGTCAGTGCTGGCGTTTGCTGCCTTACCCAAACAAACATTAGATCCCTCAGCCTCTGACCACGTGCCCCCCCCCCAACGCGGCCTGTTACTTCGCCAAATGTGGCGGCTGGGGGGCGGTGTTTACCACCGGGAGTGTCATCGCCACTGTCTTGAGTGCTGGCTTTTGCTGTCTTACCTGAACAAAGATTAGGGGGGGGGGCGGTGTTTACGGACAACAGGTCCCGATTCTGCTGAATGTATGGTTTAAAGGATGGCGTGGCTCTCATGACGCAGATCGCCCTCTCAAGATTTGCAGATTGCCCCGGAGGGGGCTAGTTTATTGGGCACCCCCTTACATCCTGTGCAAAGTAAAGCGCAGAAGCGTTTACAGTGCCCAACTGGAAAGCATGCGGAGTTCATGCTTGCCTTAATGACTCGTGCATTAAGTGATGCCTCCCCCCCCCCAACGCGATCTGTGACCTCGCCATATGTGGCGGGAGGCGGTGTTTACCGCCGGGAGTGTTATCGCCGTTGGCGTCAGTGCTGGCACCGCCGGGAGTGTTATCACCGCTGGCGTCAGTGCTGGCACCGCCGGGAATATTATTGCCGCTGGCGTCAGTACTGGCGTGTGAGTGTTGGCGTTTGCTGCCTTACCCAAATAAAGATTAAGGGGTGGGCGGTGTTTACGGACAAGAGGTCCTAATTCTGCTAAATGTATGGTTTAAAGGGTGGCGTGGCCGCCTGGACTCCATGAGATTGCCCCCTCAAGTGATGCTGTGAGGACCAGCCCTCTGCTAGCAATGGTGAACACTGACTGCCAATCCTGGCTGAGTTTTGTGCTGCAACAATTTACACAGTAGTATTTTCCCTTGGAACACCATACTGGTTCGCATGGACCCGCACTTGTAAGTATGGCCAAAGTGATGACATATCCCTCAGTACTGAAATATTGTGGACTAATAATGCCTACTCGTTCATGTTTCATCTGGAGTAATAAGACAACTCGGAATGAAGTGTAGCTAAGATTAGTAGAGTTATGAACTTTCTATTATGTCACTGTGCTCAATAATCAATTATAATTAAGATAAATTGTGTGAGACTAACTAATTATGTATCAGATAGATCACCATGTAATACTAATGAATGCCTTGTTCTCTGCAGGTTATGACCACATCAATAAATATTGAATGCGTCAAAAGGCGGGTTTCAATCATTCCCTTCGACTTGCTTGTCACCTGAACGCCCTTAACTAAGACGTTTACAGTCAAAATGAGTACGGGAGGGCGTCGAAGGGAATTCTCAACTACCAGGAGGACAAAAGGACCACAGGACACGTCACCAACTCCGGGAGTTCAGCGCAGGACAACGTAGGTCGTCAGTCAGCCACCCACCCACAGTGGGTGGGACGTCGGAGTGTTGTGTGTTTGAGTGAAGTGTTCAAATATCTGAGGGGTTGTCATAAAGTCTCGGTTCAAGCGTACAGTGCTGTGAGCGTTTGTTTGCAACCAGCCAGCCCGCGCACCCAGTGAACGAATATTCACTACACTCGGACAGTGTTGTATAGTTTGAGTCCGAGCGAACGGGCTGTTACTGTTCATTCCAGACAGGCAGGCCCACCCTCCCAGTGATTATACGGCGATGTGTGTGTGTGTGTGTGTGTGCACCGGTGATCATATCGGGCAGCTGACCGAGTTTGAGGTAAAAAATAACCAACGCAACGAATTACAGGGTAAGTGTAATTAAATTGACTTAATTTCACCTCAATTTGTGACACCGTAGACAACCTGCAGTGATCCACTTGTACCACCGTAAACAACCTGCAGTGATCCACTTGTAACCATAAGCACCCTGCAATGATTCACTTGTAACACCGTAAGTAACCGGCAGTGAAGTGTCACTTGTAACACCATAAGCAACCAACAGTTACCTACTATTGTCAAACATACATACAAGCAGCGAGCCACACCACCGAACGCAAATACAGTCGGTGAGCAGTGGTTCATCGAACAAACTTTGAGACCTAACCGGAGCTGCAAATAATTCTCAATAAGAGGACAAGAGGTAGTGGGAATGGATCCAGAGCAACGAAAGGGAAATGTGAACATGGAAGAAGGTGACCGAGACCCAGAGGCAGAAGTTGTCCCTCCAGAGCTGAACGACCACAATATTACGGCCACAGGAGATGAAGGGGCCACCCTCTGCCTGAGTCTGAGTGCTCAGCACCTGACCAAAATCCCGGATCTAACATGATAAGAAGTGCGACGACTTGCTCCTGTCAGTAACTGAACCAAAAGAAGCAATTATGATATCTCGGCAGTTGGGACATCTTCTATCCCTGGGAGGCTTCAAACTCACAAAATGGATCAGCAACGACAAAGAGGTCCTCAACACGATACCATTTGAAAGTCGACATGCTGGACTGAAGGAAGTGAACCTGGGATGTGAAGACTTACCCACAGAGAGAGCCTTAGGAGTCATGTGGGACCTAAAAGGAGACCAGTTTGCAGCAAAGGTTCAGTTTCCCACCCGATCGGCGACAAAATGGGGCTTACTACCAGTGGTAAGCTCCGTGTACGACCCTCTAGGATTCATCTGCCCTTTCACCATCAAAGCCAAGCTCATTTTCCAACACGAAAGCAGCGGAAGAAGGACTGGGACGAAGACATAACCAAGCCATCTCCGGCAGATGATGCTACAAGGGCATACATGTTGAAGACATGTTAAAGAATGCAGATGGATTGGTGGTCCTCTTTTTGTCTCGACCTGTGAGGGTACTGGCCGAGAACCAGGTAGACACGAACTTGAGAATGATCCCTGAGTTAAGCTCAGAGGCGGTTTCATTAGCCACAGCAGGAAATAATGCGATGCCATCATGCAACTGCTTATGGAGAAGGTACCATCTTGAAATGCTGCTGCAGAGGTGTATCCTGGATCGAAGCGAGTATACCACAGCATCCTGAGACACGACTTTCCGGGGTGCAACATCGAAGCTTACGCTGGAATTGCCCTGAACTGCGGAATTCCAAAGTGGGCCATCATTCGGTTCCTGCAACAGGAGGCCCTATTGTGAGGATATGAGCCTCCTGCAGCACCGGCTTCTGCAATAAAGCCGACTGTACCAACACAGAGCCATACCCTAAGCCAAGACGGGCTGCTCAGAGTAGGAGGGAAAGTTGCAAGATGAAAAGAACTGGACCAGTTCTACTGCAAGACCACCCAGTGACCAAACTTATAGTGCAGGAAGCTCACGGCGTAGTGAGCGTTAGCCATTCCGGGAAGAACATACACTGTCCATACTCCGGTGTGAGTTCTGGATAGCCTGTTGCCGATAAAGGTAATCAAAGTGTGTCACTTGCCTCCGTAACAATTGGAAGCCCATAGGCAAAAGGAAGCCATGCTGCCCGAGGGCGGACCGAGCCGGGGGCGTCCTTTACTTACACGGGCGCTGATTGCTTTGGCCCGTTCTGGTAAAGACTAGGACGAAAAGAGTACCAAGAGATATGGCATATTCACCTGCCTGGCTAGTCATGCGAGTGCAACTGGGAGTATTGGAGTCTCTAGATACAGATGCGCCTAAACACTACTGTCCGGCTTCATCGCCAGAAAGGTCACGACTCTGAAACGTATTCGTTTGAATTAGTAGCACTGTCACGTGCCTTTAGCGCTCATGTCATGTGGTATCTGTTTACGCCTCCACTCCACACAAGCTAATAATAACTTCTTATTTTACGTATCTTATTGTTGTTCTTAGTTACTTAGGTTAATTGTATATCTATATGTATGTCATTAATATGCATCATTTGTATTTACTCTATTAAATCAAGCCAAGAGTAGTATTAATTAGTTATAAGACTATTTGGCAGCTGTTCTGAGTCACGTGAGCTAAGACCCTCCTCACTCACATGCTGTGTGGCCAGAGACTCTCTCTCTAGTAAACTGTGTAGTACTTGGCTATAGGCAGGGCGTGTCACACCGACTCAACAGGCGTGCCTTGTTCAGTCATCTACCAATACCCTAGTGGTATCCTGATAATTAGTGGCACGTTAACCCAGAGCTGAAAAGGGATCCTGGTGTGTTAAGGAATCTCCTATTTGTTAGGAAATAACCAGTTGGTTGTGATTGCTGTGTATATATTGTAATGTCTCTGTTTAATATAGATTAATGTTAAGTAGTATTCATTTGATTTAACTCATAATGGTATATTTTTCACCCTTCGGCATCACTTTCTTATTTTAATATAAAATCACTTATTCCTTAAATTCCTTAGTTGCTAGACAGTACACCTTTAAGAACATAAATTTAATTATTTATTTATCTTCCCATTTGTGACTCACTTACTCCCAACTTATTCTTGGTATTCAAGTACATTCAGTTGAGTCGGTTTTTGGGGATAATTATTGCCGTGTTCCCTGTTTGTTCCTTTATTTGATGATAACTTGGGGTGGGTTTCACTCCCCGAGTATAAGAATATTGAGATCACGACAGCACCAACATGGTCGGGGCTTGCAAGGAACTCCGTCTTGACAGTGCATAGTTAGAGAATGATGAATGCATCGCAGACACTTTCAGAAAAAAGAAATGAATGGGTATTCAACCTTCCAGCAACCGCACATGGGAGGAGTCTGGGAGCAGCAAATCCGAACAGTCGGAAGATTCTCCAGAGCAATTGTAGGGACCCAAGTCCTGTGGATGAATATCGACTGCAGACGCTATTTTGTGAAGTGGGAAGCGATCATAATCGTCGACCCACATCACCCTGCCTCGAGCGACGTTGTGGGGAGACCTGGAAGATGCTTATACCAGCCCATATCCTCCACTGTGGCCCACACGCTGATCTGTCACTGGGATGATGTCTTCTCAGGACTCATATCAACGATGGCGGCAGCACGTTCAGTTCCTAGCAGACCGCTTCTGGAATAGCTGGGTGAGGAGTACCTTCACTACTCACATAAAAGACAGAAGTACATAGAACCAACCCGGAATCTCCAGGGAACATGACCTTGTCCTCATCACTGAGAGAAAATCTTCCTGCTTAATGGAAATGGCCTTTGGGCAGAATTCACGCCAGTGGTCCCAGGAAGCTGATGGTCTGGTGCGCCAGGTGCGATATTGCAAGCCGTATCTGGGGAGTTCGAAGGCCAGTGACCTGTGGCAATGCCTTCTTGAACAGCCACATCGTAAATCTTGGGCAATTGCCCAATGCCGGGAATGTTATCGCCGCTGGCTTATTATCGCTAGCGTCAGTGCTGGCATTTGCTGCCTTACCCGAACAAACATTAGATCTCTCAGCCTGAGACCACTTGCCCCACCCGCAGCGGCCTGTTACCTCTCCAGATGTGGCGGCTGGTGAAACTCACCGGGAGTGTCATCGCCACTGGCGTAAGTGCTGGCGTTTGCTGCCTTACCCCAACGCGATTAGGGAGTGGGCGGTGTTTACAGACAAGAGGTCCTGATTCTTCTAAATGTATGGTGCTATTTTTTCCCTTGGAACACCATGCTGGTTCCGCATTGATCCACTTGTAAGTACAGCCAAAGTATTGACATCCCCTCAATACTGAAATATTGTTGACCTAATTATGCCAACTCGTTCCTGCCTTATCTGGAGTAATAAGACAACGCAGAATGAAGTGTAGCTAAGATTAATAGAGTTAGAACTTTGTATCATGTCACTTGGCTCAATAATCAATTATAACACTGGTCAACAGCCAAAATGGTTCACATATGAGATCATGCTCACTACAACTAATTTCATATTGCTGAATTCGAATCTGATATTTGTTTTGTTCTGTCAGACCAGGTTTTATAAAAAATCAATAGATACAAATATTTTCAGAGTCATCCTGGTAGTCGTTTTTCCATTGAGGTAGAGGTAGAATGAATCACTCGAATTCTTGATCGGTGGATTTGGGACTGGAAGTTCAGCACTGTGCGGTACTGGTCGGATTGCAGAAGCAATATTGGGAGTACTGTGTACTTTGCCTCACGATGTCTTGATTTTTATTCCTTAATATTTGTAAGAGACAAATGGCAGTCACTACTGGCGGTCTTTAGGTTCACGCCATATCATTGGTACAGCAAACGGCATTCCTGAACTACGTTTTACATCCATAAGCTCCAGGTGGTTAACGCATAAGACTTACAGGCTACATGAGGTGCCCATTTCTTGTCTTGGTCACCCAAATGACATTTAAATGCTTTTGAAGTTCAGTCGAGGCAGCTTTTGTGATTGGTTTTCTTACTTGAGGCTACCAGGAGTGAAAGCACCACATATGTAGCAAAAACTGTCAGCACCGTTCACACACTTGCGACGTTCCATGTTTTGTTAATTTTCAGAGTAATTACAAATCATGCAGGTGTAGATATGCAATATCATGAATCAGCAAACTGAAACAAACAAAAAAGCACAAATCGGAACAAAATAATTGCATAAGTGGAGCCAATGAGCATATAAATTACTGTATGAATAGCATGGTACACTAAATATATAGATATGCTGGTTCTGGAAAACTGAGCCTGATACAGCTATACGAATGTCATAATTGAGTTCAGCACATACAATTACACTAGAATCAGACTGTTTTGATCCGAACCATAGAGAAATTTTTTTATATAGAATTGTGTGGAACTAACTAATTATATATAAAATAGATCACCATATAATACTAATGAATGCCTTGTTCTCTGCGGGTTTGACCACATCAACTTAAATGTGTATGTGTGTCAAAAGGCAGGTTTCAATCATTCCTTCGACTTGCCCATCACCTGAACGTCATAACTAAGTGATTTACAGTATACAGACTCCAGATTCTCTTTCAGCTGCCCCTGGTTCAAACACACCTCCGCACCCATCCATCTGGCTTAACGGCACTACCCTCACTAATGTTACCCTTTTTTGTATCGCGACCACACTGTCACCAAACGCTGACATCGATGATGACATTCAGCATCGGATCAGATGTGCATCCTGAAACCTTTGGCGAACTCGAAACCGTGTCTTCAAGCAGGAGCTGAGTATACTAAGTTACGCAATATCGAGCAGTGGTCTCCCACCATGCTATATAGCGGGCATAAGGCACGCCGAGGTACATCAATACGCCCGAAAACTTTCATCGCGTAGTCTACGTTTATCCTCAAGTTCGCTGGGAAGACAAGAGAACAAAATACTTGATTTGCTGACTTCGCTGTAGAATCATCGAAGCTACCATTATCCATTGACAACTCGCTGGAAGTAGCGCATATCCACATGGACGACAGTAGACTGCAAAGCAACTACTTTACGATCACCTAACGAACTAGTAAACGTAACGCTGGCGGGCAACTGAAAAGGTATAACGATTATCTTAAGACAAACCTGAAAAAATTGCCAATTGACTCCTCACTTGGGGGCAGATTACTCCACACCGTAACGGTTTGAGGATCACCACACAAGAGGGTATCAATACTTAAGGACCAGGCTCGACTGCATAAAATGGCAGACCAAGCACCAACGCCGGAAGACGCTGCAGCCGCCCCACATAATGCAACATCTAAGATCCTTCTTGATCCCCGTAACAGCCTCTTGAGTCACCTCAGAACTCACCAACTCATAACGGTATCATATTTGGATGATCGTCATACTTGATTCAGAGTGACAGCAATGTAGTAGTAATATGTGTGTGCAAGTATATG